TATATACTCATAACAAATTAGTGTTAATTGCTCTTATAAAATACAGCAGTTAAGTCTTCTGATAAATCTTTTCTATGACCAAAATCTAACCCTTTACATGCTAACAAATGTACAGGGTAAACTGCTCTGTTTGCCTCATTGTTTTCTGCCTCCATGCCTATTTTGCTATGCAAAAGCTTTATGTCAATTTACTTTTTGAGCCGTTTAAGACCAAACCAAATTATTCTTTCAGCACATTTTAAACAATCCCTTAAAGACCTCTTTTTCTTGGCTATGTTTCCAATCTTGGCTTATCACTATAATATTTCATGCTCCATGCTTCTGAAAAAATTCAATATTCAAGAACAAAGTAATCCAGAGCTTTACTTCATTTCAGTCTTTTTATGTCCTAAGGCTGTCCCAACTCAATGACCCAGTTTTTATTGTGTCACATCTCACTGTCTGTTGCAGACTGCGACCAGTTTGCCTAATCCTTTTCCTGTCCCTTATCAGTTTTCCCTTAATTCAAAAATCTTTTTTTTTTTAATTCTTTGCACTTCTCCTTTCACAGCTTTTAAATTTCTTTTTCCTCCTCCTTCTCAGGAGACTCAATGCTCCTGTGGTAGGTACTCAGCAATACAAACAGGTAACCAAAGTCCATGAGCCTGTCCTTGTCGGAACATTATCTGTATCATTTTTAGAATAGTGGGTGGCAAATGATAGAAAGTGGATATTATAATTTGGCAATATGTACTAAGAGTCCTTAAAAATGTTCATACCTTATGATCTGCAATTTTACTTCTGATAATCTGGTTTATTAATTTTAAAAAATCACCCAAATCGGGCGTGGCTGTGCATGTCTGTAATCCCAACAGCTCAGGAGGCTGAGGCAGGAGGATTGTGAGTTCAAAGCCAGCCTCAGCAACTTAGTCAGGTTCTAAGCAACTTAATGAGACTCTGTCTCTAAATACAATATTAAAAAATGGCTGGGGATGTGCTCAGTGGTTAAGTGTCTCTGGGTTCAATCCCTAGTACCAAAAAAGAAAAAAAAAAACAAACAGAATCACCTAAGATATGTAAAAAGCTATACTTATGTATATATGTATGTGTGTATATGCAAAAGAAGAAAACAACACAAATACTCAATAATAGGAGAGAAGTTAAATTATGGTCCATGTACTTGATAAAATAATGTGCAATCATTTAAGATGATGGCAATGTGACAATGTAGATACATGGGTAAATAATTACACTGTTCTCAGAAAAGCAGGATACAAAATTGAAAGTGCCTATGATCACATCTTTTTTTTTTTTTTTGGTAGTACTGAGGATTGAACCCAGAGGTGCTTTACCACCGAATACATCCCCAGCCTCTCTTATTTTTGATTTTGAGATAGGATCTCACTAAGTTGCTGATGATGACCTGGAAGATGAGATCCTCCTATCTCAACTTCCTGAATTGCTTGGGATTATAGGCACATGCCATCATGTCCAGTAAAATTGTTTTTAAAAAAGCACTTACAGAGCACTTTTGCCAACAGTTGCTATTTTGGAATGGTAGAACAACAGATGATTTTTTTCCACTCTCAAAATCTTGTGATTTTTATTTAAATTTTTTAAAACTGGAATCTTGCTGGGCATGATGGTACATACCTGTAATCCTAGGAACTCAGGAGGCTGAGGCAGGAGGATGGCAAGTTCAAGGCCAGCCTCAGCAATTTAATGAGGCTCTAAACAACTTGGAAGACTCTGTCTCAAAATAAAAAATAAGAAGGGCTGGGGATGTGGCTCAGTGGTAAAGCACCCCTGGGTTCGATTCCCATTGCCAAAATTAATAAACTATAATCTTAACTGATTCAAATAAGAATAATGTAAGTAGATTAAGTCTAGCATAACTTAAATTTAATAATAATGTAATAACTGGGGAAGGAAAGCAAAGAGAGTATGTCATTTTATTTTCCATTGTAGTCATCTCTGAAAGGGAGAATTGGGAAAAAGTTCTCAATACCTATTTTAAACCATAAAATTATTTTTTAAAAATTTAGTAGGTTCTATTTTATTGTCAAGTTTTACTGTCCCTGACTTGATCCAGGCCAGCTTGTTGTCTCCTAAAGTACTTCAAGTTCTTGTTGGTCTACCTCTAGTCCAACCTTTTCAAATAATTTCCCACACTGTCTTCAGAGAGATCTTTCTGAAACCCAAATAAGTTTATGATACTGCACTGTTTAATCTATTCAGGGATTCAGAATTTTCAAATCTTTATTTTAGCACCTCCCAAGCTTCTCTGCCTCATTCTGTGTCATTTCTTCTCTTTGCGCCAGTTTTGCCCAAACTTCTTGTAATACCTGCTATGGTACTCACAGTCATTATTGCCTTTACCTCTCACTCCTGCGCTAAGTACCCACTCATTCTTCAGATCTCAATTGTCATTTTCTTTGGGAAGGCTTTCTGGATTCTTGGTCTCATGGAGACATCCCTTTCTCTGTAATCCACTGTGCCTCACCACACAGTGTGATCACTCACTTGCCTATCTGTCTTTTCTACCAGACAATCAACTTCTTGTTTGTACTGGCAGGTGAGAGTGAGCATGTATACATTTAACCTGATATCGACTCCTCCCCTTCACTGTGGATGCTAATCAATGTTGATGAAAAGCTAATGTGCTAACCTGGATGAGCACAGAGAGGAACGCAGGGGAAGCCAAGGGTTTATTATCCTCAGGTACTTAAAGGGGTAGTAACTCATTCAGTATACCTCCCTGCTAAAAAAACATTTGTTGTGCAAATGTTTTACCTTCCATATCATAACCCTGAGAACTGGAAGCCATCTTGTCTGTGAACCCTTGAGTATTTCTTGTATATACTTGGCATGCATTCAAATACATATTAAAGTAATAAATTTCAATATTTTAAAATCATTTTAATATACAAGAATTCATACCTACTTAGGTCTCTGATGAGAAAAAACAAATGAGAGAAAATATGTGGAAAATAAAATACTTGTAAAGCTCAACATCTTAACTAGAAAATTTCAGAACAGTTTCGTCATGCCCTTGTAGAAAAGTAGAAAAGTATATAAAAAGATTAAAATGAAATCAAGATAAAGACTGCCTAGACACTGAATGTGGTAACATGTAAATATCTGCTCTACCTCAATTTTATTCACTTTAGATAGAAAATGAGGAATACTCCAAGAAAAGTTACTTGCTCGGCAGGCAAACACAAAAGTCCTGGTTATTGATTAGATAAGAAACAAATGACCTGGTCATGGTGTCAAATTTCATTCTTTGTTTCTTTGTTCCTACCTTACTATCTCTGTATTTTAAACAATGTGTTTATTACAGCAAAAGTACCTGAAATTTTTAATAAAGCAAACCATTTTCTCAAAATTTTACCATCTTAAGAATTTTTATAATGGCTAACATTTTAGTTAAAATCATAAACTAAATTCTTAATCATAAACTTAGGGTTAAATATACCCAAGCCTCTGCTATTTAAAATAAAACTCCGGAAACAATTTGGAAATAGTAAAGTCTTTCTGGATCATCCTAATTTATATGCTTTGTAGATTTAAATTTATGTTTTCTTATAGAATCATCTGTTTCTATCTGAAAAATAAATGCAAACAATGTGAGGTCTTGAAAAATATTCAGAGAATTATATTTTGAATTTCAAATTATTACAGTATATCTCATGAGTACTCTGAGAAAGACTAATTAGTCACTGCATGGGGGAAAATCTTTGACTAAACTTATATATAATAATAAAAAGCAGAAATAATAAAATTAGCACAATAGTTTGATCAGATATAATCAAGAATGAATGGGAAACAAAGACTTTTTTTTTAAAGTAAGCACTATTAGAATGAATAAGGCAAATTATGGAAACCCAAAGAAAAGCATGAATTGCAAAAAAAAGAAAAATAAAATTAGGATAGCTTTTAAAATAGCTACTTTTCCTTCAGTAAAATTCATTATGTATAAAGGTATACTTCCCTGTAGGAATGAAAATCTAAGATAAAAATATTATGTTCCTTCAGACAACCCAATATCACTAGAAAATAATGTTCAGATATACCCACACAACTTTCTTTTTAATCTATTTAAATTCCTTTCTTCTATTTGCAAAGAAACATGCTCATTTAGGATCATGAGCCTTTGGCCAACTTAGCTCTCAAATCAAGCCTCTTGTGAATTTAATGGATCTATAGGAGCTCTTCAATGAATAATGATCTAGTAGATGATATCACAAGGGTTAATTTAATGTGTTTACTACAGAATCTGCTACATAGATGGAGCTCTGATATTTTTTTCTCCTTCATTTCCCTACAATTCTGTAACCAAAACAGAACAGAACAGAACAAAACAAAACAAAACAAAACCATAGCACAACAGAATTACACAACACCGGAATGATCTATTGCTTATCCTTTAGCATAAATAGTTTATAATTTATTGTAAAAATATTTTGTGTACCATCACCACAAATACTGAAAATGAGCTTATGAAAGTTACAATTTTATCACAAAAATATTTCCTAAATACCATGATAATCCACCTGTCTTCTTCTTTATCTCATTATAACACACTAAAATGAGGGTTAGAATTTAATTTAACCTAGCCGACTTGAAGATTTGGTCTCTTGGTTTATATATATAGTCTAATACCATTTTCATTTCAAGATACATGGTCAAATGTACAGCCAAGATATGGGTAACTGACAAATTTACATAGGAGCTCTTCAATGAATAATGATCATTGAAACATAGAAACATACACACTTCTAGTTATAGATTCTAACTAAAAGAAACATACACACTTCTAGTTATAGATTCTAACTAGAAATATTACAGTAAAACCGGTAAGCACAACTACAATAGACAGATACCTACACACCTGAAAAAATCAACAACAACAAAACTTTAGCATCAGGTGGACACATCTAGGTCTTAGGATCAGTATACTGCTTTTGTGTTCTGTACAAGGTCTTACTGCCCCGCAATCTGGGGGTTTCAGAGCTAGATAGCACGCAACTCAAAAAACTTGCTTTGACCTTTTTTCATGCTATATCTCTGAGTTTCCCCCTAACTCTTGTAGTCTTCTAAAATCATCTTTCAGATTTTCACTTAATAGCAATGAATCAAATCTCCTGTATACATGACCTCATTCTTCTATTGTCTCCTCTGTTTGCAGACAGCCGATCAAAGTCCTGGAGATGGAAACGAACTGCCAACTGATTGACCATTTTCCTCAAGGTAAGAAATGCTGAAATAACTTGGAATGTAAGGAAGATAGTGAAGATGATATGAATTGCTTTTTCCAAGGGCAGATTCGTTAGGCCTTCATTAAAGAGCAAGAAAAGAATTAAAGGCAACTGCAGTAGAAGGCTCAAAAGCCAAAAGCCAGCCAACTCAGGAACCTGCAATGATACACATAAATATGATTAGATCAGGAAAATGCCATGTTTTGTTTATACACATAAATGAGTACTTAGCACTGCTATGAACCTATGGTATGGGCTCTAAGAGTAATTCAAAAGGAGTATGACGTGGTCTTTGTCCTTAGAGATCTTACTGTATAATAAGAAAACAAACAATGTAAAACAGGACTAGAATAGTACACTTTAGTCAATGATTAAATGCAACATTTAGAAGTATATATGCTACAAGAAGACAATGTTAGGGGAGGTGAAAGAAAGATACCAAGGAGCTATTCTTTTAAAGTTTTGCAGAGGGAAGAAGGTAAATAAGCAAACATGTGAAATGAGCATGACTCAACTGGAAATCATCACATTGGCCTGGAATGGATTGCTGTGTTAAGAAATGACAAGAAATTCAGTAAGATATGCTGGGTGTGGCCTAATTATGAAGTCCTAAAAAACCACAAAATTATCCCAACACTCTGGTAACTGCAAATGCTTTTGCTTAGGCAGTACAATGATTCAAAAAACATGGGCCTGGCAAAGGAAATGAATTTAGGATTTTTCTCATTTTCTTATTCAGGATCCAAACAGACATATTTAATTGACCAAGTATTTTCAAGGCCAATATGAAGATGAAAACTTATCAATTCTTAATTGCTTACTATATCCAAATACTTTACATAAATCATTTCACTTAGTCTCAACAAGCTTGTAAAATTAATATTATTTTCTTCATCTTATATTTAGAGAAACCAGAGCTCAAAAGATTCAGCAAACAGACTACAGTGAGAGGAGTGGTCAAGTTGGAGCCAGGCCTTAAATTCAGGCCTGTGCTCCTTCTACACCTCTCATTGCCTTGTACTAGCATGAAAACCTTGTTGCATTTATGGGTAGCCCTAAGAGAAAGGGAAGGGCCCACCTTTTCCTGTAGGTTTCCCATGTAGCCCAGGTACAACCGGATGGCTTCAATTAAGGTTATTAGGATGATAACAGTGATCACAATGAATTTGTAGTAATCAGGCAAAACTGAATACTGAAAACATAAAAAAAGGAAAACATGTTTGTAAAATCTCACATACAGTAACACTGACCTGAGATTTTTAAAAAAGATTAAGAACTTTAATTTTATTGACAATGGAACAATGTCAGGGATGAGCAGAAGAGCCCTCAGTGGTAAAGCACAGACTTACCTTCATGTGAAGCATCATAATACAGCTCACCCACCAAAGTGGGAAAAAGTAAGTGTTAAAATAAAGCGACATCTGCAATGGCAAACTGGAGACCATTTCATTATCTACAGAAGAAAGAGAAAAGGATCAAACTCTTAATCCTGATCTCTGCCCTATAAATCCTTTCATTCCTGAGAATCCATAACTGTAATATTGGCTCAATAAAACTACAAATTTTAGGCCTCTTTATAATTTTTGAAAGTAAAAGGAATATTCATCTTAACACCATTTAGTTCAAATATTGGTTACTTGGGGGTATGTTTCAAATTCTTCAGTTACTTATCTTGCCATTACAGTCTGCTGACTTTTTTGCACATTACTGGTATAGATTAAATGTGGAATATCAAGATGAGTCCTGTTGAACAGATAATAATTATCATTTCCTCCTCTGTAGAGTTCTGTGAAGTCTATAAAATGAATGCATAAATACATAAAAATGAATCACAGATAAACTAATCCCATACAAAACTAATCTCCTCAAATTGTAGGCACATACCCTAATCCTATGCATTCTTTAATGCCCAAGCCAATGCTACCTTTCCCATAAATCCTTTCTTGATCATATTCTCCCACCCCAGCAGAAATGTCTTTCCCCTCTAAGTACCTATTACTTTATACTGTGTATGACAGTGCTGGCATAGAACCATTCTCCCCTCACCCAGTCTAGTACATTGAAGAGACCATGGGCTTTAGGGTCCATGTAAACCCAGAACTCCCCACGATCCTGTGAGCCTGGATGCCAGGCGTAGGATAAATCATTTAACCTTTTAGAGCCTTAATTTCATCTATAAAATGATATTACAATTACCTTACCCACTGCTTGTGAGGACTAGAAATACAAATTACTTCACCTTGGCACCTGCACACTTAGTAAACACTCAACAAATATTAGTCCCCCTTCCTTTTCTATGTGAATATAGTTTCAATGTAAGCACAGACATATCCTACCCAGATTTGAGACCCTCATAGAACTGAGTATCTTGCTTGTACTTTGTGAATACCAAATACACATAAGCAGAAAGAATGACTTGATGAAAACATAAATATTCATTATCAGGGTAGCCATTGTGATAGTAAGTCTCATTTATCTAAGTTGATCACACAATACCTTCTGTTTTCATGTAAAGGAGAAGAGCACAAAATTAAGAATTTAACTTTTTAAAATTGAGCCCTACAAGATACTTCCTAAATCTAACTGTTCTTAAGAGCAGATATATATTTTGAAATTGATTGCTCTAAATGTAAGGTTTTACAAAGGTCTAATGTAAATTTCTTAAAAACATTCCTATTTTCTTTTCCCATACCTAAATATTTATGGGTCATCTAGTAATTTTTAAATAAGAAATAACCATGGTCTCTTACAGAAAAATGATTTCCTTTAGCTTCAAGAATATACCTGGTTATTATGATCTTTTGCTTATACCAATTTACTAAATTACTACTGATAAAGGAATGAATTCTTTAAAAAATCGGTTAAGTCAAAAGAAAACTCACTAGTCCAGTATTTTTTTTTTATAACAATAGTATAATTCTTGGCCAGGTGTGAACTGAGAATGATATAAACTTGTTAATACATACAAATAATCAAAACGATTTCAGATCTACAAAGAAGAAAATGTGGAAAAATAATAATGCATTAATTAAGTTGAAAATTTTAGTTTAAACTTTGGGGCAGTGGCTGTTAAAATTTCGCAAAGAACAATTTTTTATGTTACAATTTTATTACATGAACATCTTAAAAGTTACACTATGTCTATATTCCAGCAGATCAAAGTTATAATCATGCAATTCAAAATCAAATTAATATGTAAATGAACTTTGAAAGCACAAGACACAAATTTACTAAATTTTGCAAAATGTTGAGTTCTGTAAATGGAATTTAAATTAAAACGTTATATAATCCGGCAGGCAAACTACTGGCCAACTGCCTATTTTCATACAGTTGGTAAGCTAAAAGTAGTTTTTCTTATGTTTAAAAGGTTGGGGGGGGGGCGGGAAGCAATATTTTGTGACACTAGAAAAACATATGAAATTTAAATTTCAGTGTCCATAAAGTTTTATTGGTTTAGAGTCATGCCCATACAATTACTATTGCCTATGGCTGCTGCAGAGAACATATGGCCTGCAAAGTGTGAAATATTTATTATCTGGCCCTTTGCAGTAAATATTTGCTGACCCCTAATGCCTTGTATTATCAGATGTTAGTGTCTGTTAATCCTTACCCTTGGAATCACAAAAGACAAAACCTAATTTTTCACATTATTCTCTGCACATTTTAGATCATAAAAAGGCCCACATTTGGGGACTAGGCACGTGATCACGATGACAAGATCCAATCATGGGAACTAACTTTGCCTTTCTCTGCCCCGTTGTAAAAATTCCTAAAGCAGAGGAAAAGCTTGCTGTTTCCCTGCTGAGCTCAATGATGAAAACCACACAGGTTTGGTTGACAGTATGCTGTCTATCATCATAATTTAAGGGGTGTAAACTGTTTCGGAGGAAACTGTATTTTCACTTGTCATCAGGTTGAATGTAGCATCTTTACGTTGTGGTATTTTTGTTACTAGATTTTGGGGGAAGAGTTATATATAGGAGAGGAGAAGGAGGCAGGGGAGATGGGAGTTTTGATGAAGGCCTCGTTAGTATGGCAGCTGACACTCCAGTGGATGGAGGTTTACAATGACTCATTAAAATTCTTTCTTTTTCCACTTCTTCTGCTGGAAAACGGCCTCGTGCTGAACGTATTCTTTCTGCTAGAAAACGGCAAAAGGCAAGTCTCTGTCACCGGGGTGGGTCTGAGGGGTCAGGAAGGGGAGATGCTTTGGCGGTTCCCCGATCCTGGCTGGAAATGCGCGGCGGGCGGTGCAGAGGAAAAGCAACGTTGGCTTTGGCGGACGGGTGTGCTGTGAAGAAGGCGTTTTTATTTTTATTTGAGTCCCCTCCCAGGCAGCTCACGCGGCACTCTCTCAGCTGCCGCGCTTGCAATGCACCGGCCAGGTGGCACACGACCAGACCAGGCCGGGCTCGAGGCGGGGGCCTGCACGGGTCCCCGCCTCAGCACCCGCGCCCAGCTCCTCCTCCAAGGGGCTCCCCGCACCGCGGAGAACCCGCTGAAGGCGAAATCGCCATTTTAGGTCCGGGCAAAATCTGGACGTTCCAAAACCCGCGCGGCCACACCCATCGGGCCTCGGCCACTCACCCGGACCCTCACTGTACTCCGGCCCGGTCCGGCTGGAGTCGCTGAATACGGTTCGGCTGAAGTTTCCCAGCCGCTGGCGCACTGGATCCGGGAGCTCCATGTTTGGGCCTCAGTGTCCCTCGCCCCCTCAGACTCTGGCTGGTCTGCTGGCGCAGCCGCGCTCCGCGGTTCCCACGGCAACCCGGCGGTGTGAGGCGCGGCGGACCCCGGGCACGCGCTGGCAGTCTCATTTGGAGCCCGAGCGCCTGGCAGGGAGAGGTCGGCAGAGAGCTGGTTCCAGGCCCTAGGAGTCCAGCACCCCAGCAGGGCTCCAGACGGCAGATCCCTTAGTCCCGTCTTAAGCCCCACCGTCTTAAAAATAATCAGAAGTCATTATAAACCACCTGAGGTTGGACTGCACCACGAGGCGCGCTCAAACCTTGCCAGTGGGACTGTAAATAGTGCAGCCTTTCTAAAGAGAAATATAGAATGAATGCTGAACCTAAAGATTGTTCAAGACTCAGTAGCTCTGTGTGTGTGTGTGTGTGTGTGTGTGTGTGTGTGTGTGTGTGTGTAAAATGTACGGAGAAGATGGAGTGTGTGCGTGTGCTCACTAGCTTTGAGAAAAAAAAAAGGACTGAAAGGAAATAATCTGAAATATTAATAGTAATTTATCTCTGGATGGTGGAATTGTGGGTGATTCAAAAAATTTTTTTTGGGGGGGCATATTTGTGTTTCCTAGCTTTCTCTTAAGATGTATTATTTAGGGGCTGGGGTTGTGGCTCAGTGGTAGAGCGCTTGCCTAGCGTATGTGAGGCACGTGTTCTATTCTCAGCATCACCTATAAATAAAGGCGCATTGACAACTAAAAAAATGTTTTTATTTAAATAAAAAGATGTATTACTTAAACAAATAAAACCATATAAGTGTAATATAGAGAAAGGCACAAACTGAATGAATTGACATCTAGGTCAAAAAACTGAAAGGGCTAAGGATGTAGCTCAGTTGGTAGAGTGCTTCCCCCAACACCACAAAAACAAAACAAAACAAACAACAACAACAACAACAACAAMAAAATCTGACCCTTTCTCTCATCCCGGGGAGCTCTCCCTTCCTATTCCCTTTATGTCTCTCAGCATAGGACAATTTTACCAATTTTTATACTTCATATTAAAGCAATTACACAGTAGGAACTTTAAATAAAATCTGGTTCTCAAACTTAGAAAGTCAAGGGTCATATGTTTTCTCTCATATATGGAAGCTACAGAGGAAAAAAGCAAAAGAAATGGAAGGAGGGGATCTCATGAGAATCAAAGGGAGATCAGTAGACCCCAGGGAGGAAGGAGGAGAGGAAAAGGGGAAATACTGGGGAATTATATAGGCCATATTATATTGTTATATTGTGTGCATATACAAATATATAACAATGAATCCCAACATTATGTACAACTAGTATGGAGCAATTATAAATAGTGCTGCTTTTGGTAAAAAGATGCCTCTTGGTGAGCATATGGATGCACTTGTGTTGAGTGGAAATTGCTGGAGAGAAGATGCTGTAAGACCCAGCTTTAGTAGGGATTGCCAACAGTTTTCTAAAAGGATCCTACCAATTCCTACTCTTTCCAGCAATGTATGAACTCCCTCTTACTTCATATATTTCACCAACACTTGATATCTCCCTATCCTTTTCTTTCAGCCTTTCTGATGGGTGTGTGGCAAACTATTAATTTAAAAAAACAAAAGGAAAATCACACATATTCATACAAATGTCAAGAGGAAAGTATAGGAAGAAATTTTTTTGGCTAGAATTTAAAAATAATTCAACAAAATTTTATTGCATTTCCACTACATTTGGGGGGACTGTGCTAGGCTAACTAGAGATATGGTCCCTTCCCATCAAGAAGCCCAGTCCAGTGAGAGAGTGCTAGACATGGGAACTAATAAAAGAATATTGATGAAGAAGCAGTTAATTGTGGTTGAGGACATCAGGGAAAAGCTGGCTAACTTCTGCTTCATTCAAGATGGTGTGCAGGCCCCAGCATCTCCATAAAGGCTTCCAGGACCTTTCTAAAGCTGGCTTAGGTGCCCTCCACTGTGTTTCCCAAAGCATTTTCCTCTTGTTACTTTGGTCCCAGTGCTGGTAATTCTGTTCTGTAAATTTTCTGTTTATGTGTCTCTCTTGCTAGTCCACAAGCTCCTTGAGGTGAGGGATGGACTTTAGAATTGGAACTGAGTGATGATTGACTGAATAAAGAGAAGAAAAGGCCTCTTGAGTATTCCCAGGGCTTCCCAGTCCTAGTTCAAGGACGTAGTCAGCCCATGTATAAAGTTTACTCTGTAGAAGGGAGAATTGATGTATTTAAACACAGTGAATTATAACAATCATAAATAAATGTTACAACCAAGATCCATTTTCATCTATTAAATGAACCAAGATTTTTATAAAGCGCTCAGTAAAACTGGAGACCTCATGGGCTAGGGTTGTGGCTCAGTGGTAGAGCACTTGCCTAGCATGTGTGAGGCACTGGATTTGATTCCCAGCACCATAAAAAATATCAATAAAGGTGTTGTGTCCATCTAAAACTAAAAATAGATATTAAAAAAACTGGAGGCCTCATGTTCTGCTGATTGAGTTATTATCTGGACAATCACAGTGAGGTAGGCAATTGACAATATATACAAACAACCTTAAAAGTGTTCCTGCCTGACTGAACAGACACTTCACAGAAGAAATACAATCGATCAACAAACATATGAAAAATTGTTCATCATCTCTAGCAATTAGAGAAATGCAAATCAAAACTACTCTAAGATTTCATCTCACTCCAGTCAGAATGGAAATTATTAAGAATACAAGCAATAATGAGTGTTGGAGAGGATGTAGAGGATGCATTGCTGGTGGGACTGCAAATTGGTGCAACCACTATGGAAAGCAGTAAGAAGATACTTCACAAAACTTGGAATGAATCCACCATTTGACCCAGCTCTCCCACCCCTCGGTTTATACCCAAAGAACTTAAAATCAGCATATTAAAATGACACAGCCACATCAATGTTTATAGAGCTCAATTCACAATAGCTGAACTATGGAACCAACATAGATGCCCTGCAAAAGATGAATAGATAAAAAAAGAATGTGGTACATATACACAATGGAATATTACTCAGCCTTAAAGAAGAATGAAATGGCATTTGTAGGTAAATGTATAGAATTAGAGAATATCATGCTAAGTGAAATAAGCCAATCCCCCAAAACCGAAAGCTGAATGTTTTCTTTGATAAGTGGATGCTGATCTGTAGTGGGGGCGGGGGTAGGGGATAGAGAAGAATGGAGGAACTTTGGTTTGTGTAGAGGGGAGTGAAAAGAGGGGTGGGGCTGTGAGGATTTCTGGGGTTGTAGCTCAGTGGTAGAGCACTTGCCTGGCATGTGCTAGGACAGTAGAATGAGACAGACATTATTACCTTATATACATTTATAGTTATACTACTGGAGTGACTCTTCACCATGTACAGCCAGAAGAACGAGAAGTAGAGCTCCATTTGTGTACAATATGTCAAAATGCATTCTACTGTAAAATTAATTAACAACTAAAAAATTAATAAAATGAACACACACACTCAAAGAAATGAATGTAGTTCTCCTGGGGGCTTTAAGATTATGTGCTGTTCATAACTTTAATTAAGAAAAAATTTTAAACATATCCTTATCCTGTGAAATTAAGCAGTTTCGTATGTTTAAGTTGTAATTTGTAAATGCCTTGAATTCAAGCTATTTCCTTGTATCTTCCACAACACATAGAAAATTACTTATAATATATGATTAATATATTTATTAATATATGATTGATAAATATCTTATTAATCCACTATAAAAAGTGTTTCTGCCTATAATATCATAATAGAAATTTTAAGGCTCTGCTTACAGAAAATAATCATAGAAACAAAGTTTTATACAAGATGTTACTTCCAACATTATTACTATTAGATTTTTTTAAAAGGAGGAAAGATTAGGGATTATGATACCCATAGTAAGCTGTTGGGCTGTTGTGGAAAAAATGCCCTTGGAAGCAGAGAGTCCAAACCCCCTGAATTTTCAGCTTACCACCTAAGAGTTATGTGATTGATTTCTAACTTTTGTTTTGTAAAGTGGGAATAATGATATCATATAGTTGTGGTTAATGTGAAAATTATATATTAAATAAAACTCTCTGTACATGATAGCTATCATTTCAACATCTATGAAGAAGAAACAGTTAACCTACAGTTAAGCCCAATACTGCTAGCATTTAATTTTGTGAATTCAACTGTACCTATTGGGTAATATTTTATTACTTTCCTAGTAAATGCAATTAATCATTGAAAAAGTCCATTTTCAGCCAAATTTATCAAAGCCTGCGTGAAATATTTTTAAAAAAATTTTTGTAGTTGTCAGTGAACCTTTATTTTATTTATTTCTATGTGTGCTGAGAATCGAACCCAGTGCCTCACACATGCTAGGCAAGTACTCTACCACTGAGCTACAACCCCAGCCCCTGAGTGAAATATTTTAAAGATGTTTTTTTCCTCTAGCATTGAAAAAAAGTGTGGAACACCTTGTTCAGATTATAATTATTTCACCAAAACCCAGGCAGAAGACATTGAAAAAGTTATGGATATTTTCCTGTTCATTATATTATTCAAATTTCCTATAATGAACATGCATTTCAGAATCAGAAAAATTTTATTAAAAATAAATTGAAAGGCAGAGGCAATCATGGTGCAAAACTAAATGAGAGGAGAGAATTTGAGAGGAGCAATGTGGTTGAAAACAGTCCTACTGTTTGACACAGATAAAGTTTGTCTGATGTGGGGTGAAACTTCCTCTTGGTTTCTTTTCACAGATTTAGATTCTGGCTGATAATAGAACCACAAATGGCCCAAAGGACTCAAAAAACTTTCCAAATATTATTTTGTTAGTTGATGCTCACAATTTTTATAGGCAATCACATTTGTGAAATTCTGAAACTCACAAGAGGGGATCCACTTTCAGGGAATCAGGGACTAGTACCACTTGGGTTTCTCACAAGCTAGATCCACTACTCATGTAGGGATCTAAAGAGAGCCTCTAGTCTTAAAATCATGGGAATCCTTCCTAGCGAGATTAATAAATAGCCCTATTGAATTAAACTGTTTCCTTCTTGTACCATTGCTGATGTTCA